AAACAAAGAATCGACTCAAAAAAAATTGAGTCGTTTACAAGTCTGCTTCCTGGAGGGATACTGACAGACCACTCCCGTACCCTCCCGGCCACCTCGGCTCCGTCACCTCCGGCCCTGTCGTACAGAGCTGTGTCAGCTGACTGCAGTCGGACAGAGCTGCCGCCAGCTCCTCGCTGCTCCACTGACACCAGAGTGTCAGACACTGACACAGTAAGCACTGACATAGCCGGGCGGCCGCACAGCAATTTTTAGCTCCAGCAGTCATATGTAGAATGTGAATATGAACATAATAGGTATATGCGATAAGTATATGCGTAATACAATAGTCTATGAAACTACTTATACTACTCTCATTGGTTGCACTATGTCTATAATCATTCCTCATTGGAATAACTGCTCACTAATCAATCACTAATTGTAACAATGCCTGCATTCCCGTGCTGGCCGCCATCGATCGTGGCGCCACCTATACTCTGTATAACCGCCGCGCCAGGGCCGCGGCCAGTCAGTCAGTCTCGTCAGTCTGCTCAGACACGTCGTGTGCGAACTTTCTCTATGTAGTCAGTCAGTGTCAGTTGTCGATTAACCCGCGAGTTGCTGGGGGGGGGGGGGCGTTAAACGCCCCCACTTTTTTTCGCCGGGCCATAGCATAAAAACGGCGCGCCGCAGGCGCGCCAAATTTTGGGTACCTGTAGGGAATTGATTGAAGGTTATTGTGACAAAGTTTAAAAAAAATCAGTCGGAAAATGTTTGAGATATCGAGGTTTTAGTGACGTCATGATTTCTGAGTTTTCGACCAAAAATGGCATATGTTCAAAAAATCATATAAAATCACAGAATAGACATACAGACATGCCGTAAACGCCATTAGACTGCCAATACCATGATCAATCAAATGGCTATCTTCGATTATTGATTATCGTTCCGCATTTTCCATAATCTTGAACTGAATCTTGGCAATTTTTCGTGACTACTTCACGACCATGATACATGAATTTATTAAATTGAACTTTTTGAGCCAAACACGTACACATATGATAAAATGAATGTCACCATAGTGTTCTACGCTCCAAATTACCTATAAAACATGTGTCACAGGCTGCGAATATCAGTTTTGATTTTCGGGGATATGTGCCTACCCGGTTGACCTGACCTTGACCCTGACCTATGCTTGACTGACCCCTACATGGAGCTGACACTCTTGTAGGCCTTATAAGATGGATTGTGCACCGTTTTGACAGAGTTTATGGCGAGAGGCGCCCATTGCGAAGTCCTGAAGTCCATGCTACTGAAAGCCCGATTTCAGGTGTTTGACCTGACCTTGACCCGACCTGTGACCTCAAAATTCAACTTTAAAGTACTCATCTGAAGCGTCTCGTCGCGCTTTTTCATTTGCCGCCTCGTGCGTTTCGCTGCGCCTATTGGTTCTCGAGTTATCGGCTGGGGGCGTTTAACGCCCCCCCCCCCCCAGCAAACGGTGGGTGGCGAAATACCCCAGCAACTGCCGGGTTAATGCTCAATACGTTTGTTCGGAAATTTGCTGCTTGTGACTATGCAACTATCGCTAGTACCTCAACTTTTAAATCACTCCGTGACGTTACACTAATATTCCACGCATATGCCACAAGCATGAACACTATCGAAGTGCATGCGTTGAACCCCTTCCCCCTCTCACCAAAATAATATACACGATCAACGATGAAATTTGCTAGTTGAGGCTGACTGGTTCGTCCATTTGCCGTCTCCGCTGTCCATTTGCATACACCGGCATTACATGTGTGATCCGTGGTATCTCACCTCTAACATTGAGGCACTCGAGGCCCTCCGGCAGCTGCCCCCTCAGTAGCGGGAGGTCGGCGGCGGTGACTGATAGGCATCGCAGCCCACGGCACCTGGTGAGGGGCTCCAGGCTGCCGGCCGTGACATCAGGACAGTCTGGAAAACACACAGACAGACATACAGACAGGATCAGTTGGCTGTAATACATGTCGATATATGACAAAACGAAACAACACCAAATTTACATGGTTTTATGGACACATTAGACAATGGTAAAACAGTGGTATTATATGCTATATACAATCAGTTAACCCGCGCGGGGCTGGGGGGGGTAAATTTTACCCCCCCTCGCGAATTTTTGCGATATCTCAAAAACGGCGGCGCGCAGCGCCGCCAAACTTTCAGTACCTTTTCTTACATCAATTTGACACGTTCCCTGAAAATTTGAGCGAAATCCGTCGGAAAATTTTTGAGAAATTGACGTTTTAGTGACGTCATGTTCGTCATTTTCGCCTCAAAAACGGCAAAAGTTCAAACGCCGCTAACATCTTCATTTTTAAAGGAATCAAGACGTAACAAAAAAGGTTATACGTAATTTTACTTTGTCTATCAAATGGCTATCTCGGTTTTTTGAAAATTTTGGATTTTGGCCTAATTTTTTTCAAAAAACTGACTTTTTTGGGAAAATCATTATAAAATCCAAAATTTTGAGTTTATCGAAAAAACCGGAATATATGTCAGAGAAGTGGTCTATGTGCACCTACATACCAAATTTTAGAAGAATCGGTTCAAAAATGTGGGAGTTATTCAAAATTTTATGACGTCACGACACACAAAATTTTTGAAAAATGACTTTTTTGGAAGTTCTAGACCTCGTACGGAAACAAAAATAGCACCATTCGATTCGCCGTGAAAAACTGCATCAGATAGACACCTTTTTAGGCCTTAACAACCAACTTCAAAATTTGACCTCACTTGACCTGACCTTGACCTGACCTCGACCTGAAATTCATCCAGAGGTGGTCCATATCACTTATTGAGTGTGCCTATTGAATTCTATGAGTAAAATGACCCATAAAACATGTGTCGCACATGCCCTTTTCTATATTTTGTTCTTTGGTGACCTGACCTGACCTGACCTGACCTTGACCTTGACCTCTGAATGATATTGTATGCAACGAATATTGTCTTGGTAGCCTAAGAACACGTTTTGGGCGATCAGTCTCAGTCCATGACTCCATTCTTCGGCAACTACGGTGCAAGGCCGATACTGTAGAAACTTGCAATTTGTACCCTTGACCTGACCTTGACCTTGACCTCAAACTTTAAATTAAGTACACGTTTTTAGTAGTTCGTGATGAGAGCTTTCGATTGGCGTTTGAATTTTCCAAATCGGACCGTTAGTTCGGGAGATAACAGGGGGGGTAAAATTTACCCCCCCCCCAGCCCCGCGCGTTCGGCTGGAGACCCCAGCCCCGCGCGGGTTAACCCGCGCCCTGCTGGGGGGGTGTTTGAACACCCCCCCCCCTGTGGTTTTTCGCGAATATCTCATAACCGCGCCGCCGTTTTTGGTACACCTTATGATACATCAATTCTACACATGTTGTGAAAATTTCAAACCAAGGTCATTCAAGGTCAGGTCACCAGGTCACTTGAAGTGACCTCACCTCATAAAAAGTTTCAATGTCTGTCATAGCTACACCGAGTGACCGATCGCTTTGAAACTTTCAGCGATTGCTAAGAGCAATAGCATGTACAAAATGTATATCTCAGAATTTTGATATCGATGACCTAAGGTCAGGTCAATTTTGCGACCTCCCCATATTATAAGTCAATGGGAGAAAACTGAAATGCGCCTCTTTTGGACGAAAGACATTATAAACACTCCCAAACACTGAATTACAAGTGGTTTAGACACAATGAACATGGAAATGGTGTCCGTGACCCCTGTTTATGCCCTGAGGTCATCTTAGGTCACGAAAGGTATCTAACAGTTTTTCGCAAATAACTTTTGATAGAGGCATGCTAGAGCGATGAAAACGCCTTAGATGTGTTCATCTCGACGATACGGATCGACTGATATGCAACATGACCCTTTCCGGTCAGGTCATGACCTTGACCTGAGGTCAAATTTTCAAGTTGACCTTTCAAGGTCAAGTTATAGTTCATTCAGTTCAAGTTATAGATGCGTCTTGACGAGAGGAACACGATGCCGGTAAAAGTAAGCTCGTACAAGGCTTGGGTCAAAAGTTATTGCAGAAAAACTGTTTCCGAAAAAATCGGCTATTTTTGCAGTTTTTGCCCCCTGCAGGAAAAACCGTTGACGTTAGGTCAAATCTGAGAGAATTACTCAGAAAGGGCGTTAATAGGGCTATCGAATGCACTTTTCCGCGGCGCTGTAGCTCTATTGGTTCCCGAGTTATGCGTTGGGTTCTTGGAAATTGTCGACATTCGACCTGGAAATCGGCGAAATTTTGCCTTCAATGACCTCTGGTGACCTGACCTTTGACCTGACCAAAAAATTGACCGAAGTGATTTCCTCATTATTTTTGACGCTCTTTCGAACGCCGCCTTCCGCGTATCGCTACGTGGCCCAGGAGCCGAGTTAGAAGGGGGGGGGGGGTGTTCAAACCCAATGATTGTAATGCAAATTGAACATTGCATTACAATCATTATGTGTATGTTTAACTAACTCTGAAGGAATATGTCACTGAGTGAACAGTCCTCCTCCGTTTTGGAGCTCAGTTAGCTTCATTATATCGCAAAGCACATCGGCTATGTATCGCACCCCTCTCCAGGGCCCAATCTTACCAAATGCCGTGAATGCGCATTCACGGCATTTGGTAACATTCAGAACTATTCCACATTCACTTATTCATTCGTCCACGCAACATTCATAATCATTCACGCTATCAAAATCATTGGACAAGATTGGCTGAATGTAAATAAAAAGTTTATCTTTGATATTAGTGCCGTTAACTCCGGCCAGTGCTGCCAAATCCTATTTACGGCATTGGTAAGATTGGGCCCAGGTGCGACAACGGCACACCGTTACTCGGTGTCCGCCATTCCCTGAACTCGTATATCAGCGGCCTGTCCGTGCTGCCGCTGCTCACCGTATATCACCAGTCGGTTGACCCTCCGTCCCAGGTCAGCCAGGTGACTGATGGTGTCGGCAGCCACCCCCTGGAGCGACACTGACAGATCATCCCCGTACCGTTCCGGCCACCTCGGCTCCGTCACCTCCGGCCCTGTCGGACAGAGCTGTGTCAGCTGGCTGCAGTCGGACAGAGCTGCCGCCAGCTCCCCGCTGCACCACTGACACCAGGGTGTCAGACACTGACACAGCCAGCACTGACATAGCCGAGCGACTGCACATAAATTTTTAGCACCAGCAGTCATATGTAAACATGTAAATATCAGCAACATGAGTATATGAGATATAAGTAACTATACGCGATAAGTGTATGCGTAAAACAGTAGTCTATGAAACTACTTTGACTACTCTCAATTGTTTCACTACAATCATTCCTCATTGGAATAACTCTGCTCACTAATTGTAACAATGCTTGCATTCCCGTGCTGGCCGCCTTCGATCGTGGCGCCACCTATACTCTGTATAACCGCCGCGCCAGGGCCGCGCCCAGTCAGTCTCGTCAGTCTGCTCAGACTGACTCGTCGTCAGCGAGCTCTATTTGTAGTCAGTCAAGGTCAGTCGTCAACTCACTCATTATTTTCGTTTAGAAATCTGATGCTTGTGACAATGCAACTATCGCCAGAACATCAACTTTTAAGTCACGCCGCAACGTTACACAATTAGGTATTCCATAACGCACCACAAGCATACACATGTGCAATTGTGCAGTGTACAAGTACAGCCCTCTGCAAACTGCGTGGTAGGTATTCTTGTTTCGACAAAACCGATAATAACTCAAAGGCTATGTTATCAGTTGGTCGGTTCTCATTGCATACCTATAGTATAGATGCACCATGCTCCACTCCTTCGATTGGTTCTATTATCAATGAACAATATATTAGGTATACGCCTAGTGTAGCAACAAAATGCAAAAGTTTGTTTTGGGGGCAAATGTAAACTTTTGTGTGTTGTTGTTAAACTAGATGGAAAATGCATAACAAAATAATCCCAATCTAAGGTGCGGAGTCTCGCACGTCTTGCTGTTACAATTTCTGAGTTACCGTGAGCATAGTATTCTCGTTATTCTCGGTTTTGTCGAGAAAAAAAAAGAATGCCCACCACGCAGTTTGCAGAGGGCTGTACTTGCGTTGCAAACCCCTCTCCCACCACAATAATGTACACGATCAATGGTGGAACTTGCTAGTTGAGACTGATCGGTTCGTCCATTTGCCATCAACGCTGTCCATTTGCATATACCGGCATTACCTACATGTGTGATCTGCGGTATATCACCTCTGACATTGAGGCACCTGAGGCCCTCCGGCAGCTGCCCCCTCAGTAGCGGGAGGTAGGCGGCGGTGACTGACAGCCGCTGCAGCCTACGGCACCTGGTGAGGGGCTCCAGGCTGCCGGCCGTGAGATCAAGACAGTCTGGAAAACACACAGACACACCTACAGACGGGATCAGCCGACTGGAATACATGTCGATATATGGAAAGACGAAACAGTATCTATGAATTCGTATGGTTTTATGGACACAGCAGACAAGGGGTATAAGCATATTATGTATAATGGGTTCAAACATCGAATATTCCAACACTGAAAACAAATCGACACAGTGAGGGCATGTTCTGTACCTGTAACACATCAATCATGTGTTAATCGCACTCAAAACACAATAAGGCTGAGTATTTTCACGGTTGGCGGGACCTTCGACACGTTTGATAACACAAAAAAAACAGAATAATGACACAATTTTCTAGTGCCAAGCAAGCTGGACGAATGTAATGCATCAGTGTATCGAAACCATGTGTTGTCGGACATGGTAGACGTGTATGTATAGTCTCTCTTGAAAGTATCGCGTCCTGGGCTGCGGCGGCTCAGCGAACTATTCCATTCAGTTTGAGGACCCCAGTAGGGAGGTCATGGCCTGTATCATAAAAAGTACGCTGTATGTAACACGATTTCACGCCAGCGCGGTGGTAGAAGGAAACTGCTATATGACGCAGGCCCCAGCGGCTGACAACTAGGTCAAAACAGGCGGAGGCCGGCCAAAGGTCATACTCGTATTGCTCTCCTTTGACCCCGTCCATCGCCCCAGGCGGATACCGGTGCCTCTTGGGCTCACCAGCCGGGCGCTCATTGGTGTGCCTTATGGGCGCCAATCACTCAGTGTGCTTGACGCGTAAAATCACAACGAAGCGAAGTTCCGCCATAACCCTTACTGTCATGAGGCCTTCTGAATGACGTTAACAGGTCATGCGGGGGAGGGGAAGCCTGGCATCAAATAAGTTTTTTAAAAAGAACATGGCTGAACAGCATTGTTTTTTTTTTTTGTCGCCGTTCACTAACCGGCTCATTAAAAAGAGAGAACTTCAAATATAGGACTAAATGGCTAGACAGCGAATTGGCGAAATGGCTAGAGAGATAATTTTTGTTTTTGAATCCGCTTACGAGTGCATGTGCGAGCACGGATGCATTCTGTTAGCGGGTGCAACTGATGATTTTTTGGGTATTTGGGCACGGGTTTCCGGATTTTACCAAAAACCTGTGACAGTCGTGCTGATGACGAGTCAAATTGCTAACTTTGCAATGAAAGAAATCTCGACAAATCCTCTGCGAGTATAGGGTGGCTTCCGTTGACCACATGCTTAGCTGCCATTACCAGTTAGCGGACGGTGCGGACATCACCCGCCTCCCCCTATCCCTCCGCAGTCCGTAACCACTCCCCTCGGCCCGCCGCGCTGGCTGCCTCCGCGTGTCAGGCTTCGGTCAGTGCTAACAGCGGCTCTCAAACCTTTCCGCTCAACCGCGGCTGAGACAGGTGGCGCCTTCCCTCAGAGTCGCGATACTTTCAAGAGAGACTATACCCTTTCACAAATACACCGTGCCATCCACCATTGAGCGCACCTATCCGTGCTTCTATCCTCAGGATACTGAAATCCTTCTCCTCCACGCCGCAACCCCCCTCCGGGCTGGACAGGCAACTTTATCTCATGCGGGCTGCTCCCTTGGAGCGGCACCGCTGCTCCTGAGGGAGCGCACCCCGTAGCCGGGTGTAGTGAGTGCCTTGGGGCTGGGTGGCCTGTCCTCTGGACGGGCTCAGCCCCGGCTACTCACTAGGGTGCCTGCCCAGACCAATGTCTCCCCCTAATTCCTATCATCCTTCCGGCTCTGCAATGGTCTTGTCGACCGAAAGGGCCTAACCCAACAAAACAAACAAACAAACAAACATTGAGCGACCTCTGAACCTTAACTTCAGATGGGGATAACAGAGGGCGTTTTGTCGAGCACCGACTTCTATGCTGGGTTTTTGGAAAATCTGCCAGAGTGTTTTAAGAAAACTCAAAATGCACAATACAGTCGAGGGATTCGATGCTTGATAAATTGTCTAGAGCAATATGCGCTGATTACATCAAATGCAAGCTGAAGCATACCCAATTAACGTCTGCTTGGAGGAAGAAACTTCTGGGTCTATATGGGATATATTCAAAAAAAAAATCGGTGGCTGAAAATCGTTCCGGTAGCCCGGAACCTTTGGACATCTGCATTACGCAGCAGTCCATCAATTGGGGGCACTGTCAGGTGGTGCACTGAGTGAGCCGTCTACGTGACGTTTTCGCCTTCTGGCCCTGAGACGGAACCTTTCTGATCCAGCGGCCGACCGAACGCATCGTCAGGTCGCGTATGGGTCGGCCGACCCCGCCTGGGTCGGCCGGCCGCGTGCTCAGCCCAATACCGCCCGATTCCACTCGGGCCCGGCTTTGGCAGTCAGCCTGTCCAGTCAAAGCCAAAGCCTCCTCAACTGCGCCCCGGCAACAAACTACATAGTCACCACGTGTTTCCAACTTTCACTTGCGATTTGTGTTAAATTTAGTAACACATTCACAGTGCATTAACCCTCGCCGGCCGAGGGGGGCGGGTGCCGCCCCCCCCCCATAGGGTTTTTTCGCGATAGCTCCGAACACGCCGGCGATAGAGAGCAGAAACTTGGCATACCTGACCTTTGATTCAAGCCGGATCTTTTGACACCTTTCGCATTTTCGGGTCAGGTCAGGTCACTGACCTATGACGTCATAAGTGAACCTCTGCACGGTCTTCAGATGTCGCAACTTCGCAACGCCCTCACTGCCAGAGGAGGTGTCACAGGGAAATGAAACTTGCAGGACCTAGTATCCATTAGGAGTCTCACAACTTTTATATCTCGGATTTTTCCTAAAGGTCATATGAGGTCAGGTCATTTTCTCGACCTCACCATTGTAAGTCAAAGGGGAAAATGAAAACTGCTATTCTGGCGCCGGGAACGATCCACAACTATCTCAAGCACACATAATCATGATTTCAGGCATTCCTTGCAAGGTTCCATGCGTCACTTTTGCAATGTTGACCTTGCGTGACGTCATTTATGACGTAATTAGGGTCATATTAGTTTTTCGTCAATACCTCCCGATCAAATTGAGCTAGCGAGCCAGGAAAGCCAGCAATGGACTCGGGAGGACCTGCCGAATCGAATGATATGCGATATGACCTCCTTCGACAAACTTCGTGACCTGAGGGCGCTGACCTGACCGTGACCCGAGGTCAACACCCTAAGTTGACCTCACCCAAAACAAAAAGTATATCATTCGACGCGCCTGAGCAAGGCGAACACGACGCTGCCAAAATCGCGGCTCTGCGGCCGTTTTTTGCGAAGTTATTCACCAAAAACCGAACCGTACCTTGGGGCACTTGACCTGACCTCAGAGGTCACCGGCTGACCTAGGACCTTATAATCGGGTAACAATTTCTGCGTCTTGAAACGGCGACCACGCTCGTTTTTTTCCGCGACGCACTAGCTCCACCAGGGGCGAAACGGCGAGGGGGGGGGTCGTACCCGCCCCCCCCCCCTCGGCCGGCGCGTATGTAGAAAACCAATAGGTCCGGCGAGGGTTAACCCTCGCCCTGGCAGGGGGGGGGGGGGGTCGATGCGACCCCCCCCCTTCTAAGGTTTTTCAAAGATAGCGTAAAAACGGCGGCGCGCAGCGCCGCCAAATTTGGCACAGCCTATGGGGCAAACTGTTCATATAACCTGAAAATTTCAGGTCCGGGTGACCTTGGGTCAGGTAACCAGGTCAGAAAAAAGGTACAAGGTCATGGTCAAATTTCAATTTTCTTTATGCACCTGTCCAACTCACAGTTTTGGAGCGATTTCCTTCAAACTTTCAGGATGTACTAAGTTCACCAAGTTGTATAACATTTATTCCGGTTTTTTGGATGTCAATGACCTGAGGTCAGTTAGAGGTCATTACGTCGTAATGTTAAGCCTAAGGGAAAATATTCAATTCGGAAAATACTGGAGATATCCGCTTCGTTCTATCATTTGTGTGCTTTGAAACCTCAGTACCTAACATTATGTCACTTGGTGCTTCTTTGTTTGGTGTACTTATCCACGGGTCAGGTCAAATGAGGTCAACTGAGGTCAAATGACGTTTGTGCCAATAACTTGTCACACAATAAAGATACAGCTTTCAAAATGGTATCATTCTGTTCCTTTTGAAGAGCCGAGTCGAATGATATGCAACATTAAGCATTTCGACCATTCTTAAGATTTAAGTTGTACTTAAGATGTGCTTAACTTTTGAAGTACACTTAAGCAAACAAAAAAGTTTATCATTCGACGCGCCTTGACGTGCTGAGTTCACTGGTGCTTTTCTATTTGCTCTATCTTAATTAGATCAAAAGTTATAAGCGAAAAACTTTTGACCTGTTTTTAGCGAAATTTTTACATTCATACCCCCCAAAACCCCCCTAAATATTGACCTAGAGCAACCACATTTGCACAGGCGCGAGAACTCCAGGGGGCCCACCTACCTACTAAATTTGGTGTTTCTAGGTGCCATAGGAGCCAATCGCGAGGGGGGTCGCATCGACCCCCCCCCCCCCCCTGCCAGGCGTGTTATGAAAAATGCCCTGCCAGGGCGAGGGTTAAACATTGAGTAACACATTTACCTTGTATTCTGCAAATGTATTCACACAAGCCGTATGTGTCTAAGACACACTGATATTGTGTTTTAGGACACAACACGACTGGGTCAACACATTTGTAAATTGACACGTCTGCGGCGGGTCAAAACATGCATGATGCAGGGTACACAGAAAGCCTAGTTAACACACTCTGCTTGTGCGTTTTTAGTCGTTTTTTGTATCAATTTGTTTTCAGTGAATACAATCGTTATGTGTATGCCTAACAAACTTTGAAGGAAGAGGTCATTGGTCATTGAACAGTCCTCCTCCATTTAGGAGCTCAATTGGCTTCATTATTTCGCAAAGCACATTGGCTATGTATCGCACCTGTCTCCATGAGGTCCGACAACGGCACACCGATACTCGGTGTCCGCCCTTCGCTGAGCTCGTATATCAGCGGCCTGTCCGTGCTGCCGCTGCTCACCGTATATCTCCAGTACTGTGACCGTCCGTGCCAGGTCAGCCAGGTGACTGATGGTGTCGGCAGCCACCCCCTGGAGCGACACTGACAGATCATCCCACGGGTTCCATTCCGGCCACCTCGGCTCCGTCACCTCCGGCCCTGTCGGACAGAGCTGTGTCAGCTGACTGCAGTCGGACAGAGCTGCCACCAGCTCCCCGCTGCACCACTGACACCGGAGTGTCAGACACTGACAAAGCCAGCACTGACACTGCCGAGCGGCCGCACAGCAATTTTTAGCACCAGCAGCCATATGTAGAATGTGAATATGAACATAATACTCGTAAGTACCTATATGCGATAAGTTATATGCGTAATAGAGTAGTATATGAAACTACTTATACTACTCTCATTGGTTGCACTATGTCTATCATTCCTCATCGGAATAACTGCCCACTAACTGTAACAATCCCGCATTCCCGTGCTGGCCGCCGTCGATCGTGGCGCCACCTATACTCTGTAGGTATTACCGCCGCGCCAGGGCAGCGGCCAGTCAGTCTCGTCAGTCTGCTCAGAGTCGTTGTCAGCGAGCTCTCTATGTAGTCAGTCAGTGTCAGTCGTCGATTAACCCGGCAGGCGGTGGGCCTCCCGGACACCTTCCGCGCGGTGGGGGGGGGGGCGTATTTACAAATTGCAATCGAGCTCCGCCGTGGGGTATTCTATTTCCGCCGTAGTGTATTTTACTTAGGGTGTTTTCACCCTACATTGGCCTGTGCTTGGGGTCATTACAATTTGTCGGTGACATTTAAAAATACTGCGTTATTTTTTGCAGTATAGGTTCTCGCATGTGTATATTTTTCCCGGTTAGTTTTTATTTTAAAGTTTGGTGAAATTTAAACAATAGATTTACAATTGAATTGATAAAATGGGCATCCTTTACAGCTAACTTGCACATAAAGTTTTAACCCTCTCACTTATATGAAAGGAGGTGTCGAACGGACCCCCTCGGTTTTTCGCGAATAACTCGCGCAAAAAGTGGCGGAGCGCGACGAAACTTTCAGTACCCTCGAGTTGATCAAATTTACACATATCCTAAAAATTTCATGACCCTGACTCAAATGATCATTGACCCGTGACCTATTTCTTGAGACCATGTTTGGCAGGAATCGCGATTCGGCGTATGCTGGCTACATTATCCGCACGAGTTTGCAGTCTTTTTGTGGTTTTAAACGTTCAAACATGTGAAATGATCTTGGTCCCATGCATTATGGTAGGTGTCAAGGTCACGTGAAGATCAGGTCAGGTCACTGACCTTTGATGACCTTGGTACACTTTTTCGAGTTTTACATTTCTAGGCTAGCTTTTGGAGCTGAATTCGAATTTAGCAACCATTTGAACATTTACAAAGTAGTTTTGGAGTCTTCATAACACGTTACGAAGCTGTCAGTGGTGGTTGACACCTACCATAGCAGGACGCCTACATGGTTGACCTGACCTGACCTGACCCGACCTGGCCTAAATGCAAAAAGGCATTATCTATGAGAAAAATCAACATGAAATTCGTGATCAACACCCCGAAAACCCCTATCTAACAGCCTCATTTTACGAAGTTCTGACAGGTCCCGATTTTTCCGACTTTTAGGTCATCGGCTTGACCTGGAAGGTCAACCATTGACCTAGGACCTTAACCCGCGCCGGGCCGGGGGGGGGGTGTTTGAACACCCCCCCCCTGCGGTTTTTCGGAGATATCTCAAAAACGGCGGCGCGGAGCGCCGCCGTTTTTGGCACACCTGTTTGTGCATCTTTTCCGCACATGTTGTGAAAATTTCAGACCCAGGTCGCCTTAGGTCAGGTCACCAGGTCACGCCAAGTGACCTCACCTCAGAAAAAAATAAGAATGCTCGTCATAGCTACACCGATTGATCGATTGCCTTGAAACTTTCAGCGATTGATTAGAGCAACAATATCTATAAAATGTATATCTCGGAATTTTGATATCGGTGACCTAAGGTCAGGTCAATTTTGCGACCTCTGCATTATAAGTCAATGGGAGAAAATTGAAAAGCGTCTGTCTTGCACGAACGTTATTCTAGACACTCTCAAACATCGAGATGTAGGTAAAATGGACACACTGAACCGGAAAATGGCAACTGTGACCCCTCGTTATGTCCCCGAGGTCATCTCAGGTCACGAACAGAATCTAACAGTTTTTCGCTAATAACTTCTGATAGAGACGTGCTAGAGCGCTGAAAACGCCTTAGATGTGTTCGGCTCGACGTTGCGGATCGACTGATATGCAACATGACCTTTTCCGGTCAGGTCATGACCTTGACCTGAGGTCAAATTTTCAAGTTGACCTTTCAAGGTCAAATTACAGTTCATTCGACGCGTCTCGACGAGAGGAACACGATGGTGGCAAAAGTAATGTCATGACTCTTTTGAGTCAAAAGTTATTGCCGAAAAACGTTTTTCGTAAAAACGGCTATTTTTGGAGTTTTTGCCCCCTGGAGGCTAAACCCTTGACCTGAGGTCAAATCTGAGAACATTACTAAGAAAGGTCTGTAAAAGGGCTATCGAATGCGCTTTCCGCGGCGCTGTAGCTCTATCGGTTCCCGAGATAGCCGTTGGCAGTTTCAGTTTGAAATAGTGGACATTTGACCTTTGGTGACCTCTGGTGACCTGACCTTTGACCTGACCCAAAAAATGACCGAGGTGCTTTCGTCCTTATTTTGGACGTTCTTTCGATTGCCGCTTACCGCGTGTCGCTACGTGGCCCAGGAGCCGAGTTAGAAGGGGGGTGTTCAGACACCCCCCCCCCCCCGGCTCGGTGCGGAATCTCAGAGCACCGGCCCGGCGCGGGTTAAAAATTGGTATATCTATCTTAAAAACTGAGCTCTTGAGAGCGATTGCCGTTGGTCAATGTTTTGCATCAAAATCGGCCGAACATGACGTCACTCTGACGTCATTTTCGGCCGACCTATGTTAGGTAGAAAGTTATAGTTTTGCACAAGGTGTCAAATTGATGCAGACGAAGGTACTTCAAGTTTCGTGTCGATACGTCAAGCGGTTTAGAAGATATTGCAGAAAAACGAGAGGGGGGGCTATAAATAGCCCCCCCTAGTGGGGCGAGGGTTAACGAGATCTCGCGATTGGTGGTATATTTTTTGGTCCTAGGTCAACATTTGACCTACTTATGACCGGTCAAAGGTCAAATTTTCGGAAAAAAAACTAACTTTTTCAGATTTCCGCGCCGATTGCGGCAAAACTTGAAACCTTCACTATCGTGATCCTTGATCAATTCTCTATCGTTTGGTGTGTATTTCGATGTCATAACTCTAAAAATGATGCGTTGGGAGCATTGGAAGTCTGCAAGGTCATTTGTGCAAAACGACGGCTTTAGCGTGTGACGTCACTGACCTGACCCTGACCCAAAATGAACTACAAGAAACTAACCGACGATGCCTGAAATGGATAGCAAATTCGAATTCAGGGCATCAAAATACCCCGAAAAGGCATACAAGTGCAAGAAGTCATTACAGGTCAACCGAGGTCACTGACCTTACCTTGACCTTAAGTAACCTTCAAAATGTCAACGGACATTGTGCCAATGTCAAATCAGCCAGTTGTGATTCTAAAACAATCCATCAGTGTGTCAGGTCAGTCGGCATTTATACCAATGTGAAGCAATATCCAATTTAGCGTAAATCTGGCCGGAGGTTGTTCCCTTTATGACGTCATACCTCCGTGACCTGACATGACCTTGACAAAAAAAAACAAAAGTTGCGCAAAGGATGCCCCAGAGGGTACTGAAAATTTGAGCAGGCTATCTGAAACGGTTCGGCGTGTAGCTAAGAAAACCCTCAGGGGGGGGGGTGCACCAACCCCCCCCCCCTACTTGGGCGAGGTAACACAACACTGGTACCTCACTGGAAAACAATGCCCAGGGAGGTTGTTTAGAACATTGCACCGATCACTTGTCAACATGTTAACCATCATGCTCTGAGTTGACTAGTGATATAATAAATGTGGTATTTAATAATTGTTATCTGGAGTTGAGTGGTGAGATTATTCAAATAATCAGGGTGCCATGCCCTGCATACTGCACACCATGCATATTTTTTCATGTAGGCCCTCTGCACATTGCTGTTTGCACTATGTGTACCTTTATAAAAAAGGTGTGGTGACTGGTGGAGAATGACAAAACGTTGCGCAACTGTGATGTTCATGCCCTTGATCTTGCTGGCGCCTATATGGCAGGATCAGTGACGGTTACAGACATGCTACACACATTGTGCGTTGAAGCTAATGGCACAGCTCGACACATAATAAAAGTGACCTTAACCCTATTCCTGGCGGGGGGGGGGGGGCCTCAGGAGCCCCCCCCCCTGAGGTGTTTTGGTTATTTCTCCCAAACGCGTTGAGTTAGGAAGCTCAAATTTTCTGACTTTTCCTAAAAGGCTTCTACGCAACATGTCTGAAAATTTTAAGTTGATCTGACCTCAGGTCAGGTCACCAGAGGCGGTTTGGTGACCCTACCTCAGAAAAGTTTGCAATCACGCCAGAGCTAGAGTTTTTGACCGATCAATTTATTCTCTTCAGGCTTTAGTTGGGGTACCAGTATGTGCAATTTGTATATCTCGGAATTTTGATATCGGTGACCTAAGGTAAGGTCAGTTTCGCGACCTCCCCATTATAAGTCAATGGGGGAAAAATCAACTCCCTGTTTTTACCACTAAAACGGGTCGGAATGGCCCCATATACCATACATGACTTCATATACGATCAACCTTCACTACCTTGAGGTCTGTTTTGCTGTTGGGCAGCTGTGAGGTCATGTGACGTCATCAAAGGTCACCAAAGGTTTTTGGCCAATAACTCCGTACAGGAACAAGATACAGACGCGTAGATGGTCTCATTGTGTTCAGCTCGTCAGGACGCATCGAATGATATACATGATGACCTCGAGGTCACGTGACCTGAGGTCAACCTTTGACCTTGACCTTTCGAGGTCAACATATATCATTCGATGCAGATTGACAAGAGGATCACGATGATGCC